AGCAGCACCCCCAGGACACTTGTGAGGTCTGCCTGTGGCCTTTGCTTTTATCACAGTAAAATGCACTTAACATAAAGTTGACCATTTTAACAACGTTTTTTTGAGATGGGGTCTTGCTCTGTTGCCCAGGCTGGAGTGCAGTGGTGCAACCTCGGCTCACTGCAACCTCTGCCTCCAGGGTTCAAGCGATTCTCCTGCCTCAGTCTCCTGAGTAGCTGGAATTACAGGCACGCGCCACCACGCCCAGCTAATGTTTGTATTTTTAGTAGAGACGGGGTTTCACCGTGTTGTCCAGGATGGTCTTGAGCTCCTGACTTCAAGTGATCTGCCCGCCTCGGCCTCCCAAACTGTTGGGATTACAGGTGTGAGCCACTGTGCCCAGCCCCCCATTTTAATGATTTTTAAGTGCACAGTTCAGTGGCATGAAGCACATTTATACAGCTGTGGAATGGTCACTGCTTTCCTCTCCAGAACTTGATGTCTCCCCAAACGTAGATTGGACCCCATTAAACACCACTCCCCCCACTCCAGCCCCGGGCACCACCGTCGCACTGGCTGTCTCGATGGTTTGGCGACCTTAGGAACCCCACAAGTGGGATCGAGTAGCATTTGAGCTTCTGCGAGGGGCTTGTTCCCTCAGCACCGGGCCCTTGGCTGACTGTGCCGCCCCCGGGCCTGAGCTGCCTTCCATTTCTGGGCGATCGGCGCCCCTCTGCACACACGCCGCTGTGACTGGTGGTGACCTGCGGCCTTTTAGACGCTGGACTTTCCCCGTGTGGGCGGCTGCCTGTTCCTGGGCTGAGCGGGGCCGTGTGATCGCCGGGTACATCCTGCTCAGTTTGGAAACTAGGCCTGTGAACTTTTCTAGGCCCTGTGAAAAGGTTTGAGACCAGGAAAGAATGCTTCCTGGTTCCACACACAGAAAGCGTACTGCAAGTTTGCAGTTTAAAAATGTTCTGGTTGTGATTCCATTTTGCTTTTATGTAGTCACATGAAAGATTATGTTTAAAACTGGGCACAATGGCTCACACCTGTGGTTCCAGCTCCTCAGGAGGCCGAGTTGGGAGGATCACTTGAGCCCAGGAGGCTGAGGCTGCAGTGAGCTGTGGCTGTGCCACTGCGCTCCAGCCTGGGCAGCAGAGCGAGGCCCCTTCTCTGAGAAAGTGCCACTTAATAGGTTTGCTCTGATGTCCATTCATCTGGAAAGTGTTGACGTGACTCAGTGGTCTGGGGCCGGGGCTCCGGGATCAGGGACGAGGGGCACCCGAGACCTTTGACTTTTGACTTCCCGTGAGGGAAATGAAATCCATTCCTCTGCCCCTTCCACTGCCCCTCCGGGGACTGCCATGTGGAGCAGCCATGCCGGGGCTTGGCTATCCCTGCAGTGGGCGTTGGGGGGGCAGCCCGTGGACAGGAGTGTATTTGGGTGCCTCTGGCTGGTCTTGAGTTGGAAGTGGGGCCACTGACTGAGTCCTGGCCACGTGGGGCTGGTGGATACGGAGGTGCTGCTGCAGCCAGAGCTCCTCCTCTCCCCGTGGCCATCCACCACGAATGCACCAGGGCTCGTGGCTGCACGTGGCCTGGGCGGTGTCTGTGTGTTCATGCTCGCAGGACAAAAGTGAGTCCTGAAGCCCAACATGGAACTTCTTGGTGACCTCCTGTTAAAAGAAAAACTTTAGACAAGATGATTTTAACAGTTTGAGCAAAGATCATGAATTGGGCAGCATCCAGAACTGCAAGAGGGGGCTGTTTGCCGTGGTGGGGGCAGTGCCGTCAGGCATGAGGCTCACCGTGAGCACGCCCTGGCCGCTGACCACACCCGGGGCGACGCTGCTGCCTCGTCTGATGCCCTCGTGGCTTCTGGGCTGGGCAGCAGGCACCCCTCCAGGAGGACCCCAGGGCAGGGCTCCTGCCCCCGCTCACAGCAGGTGCTCGTGTTCAGATTCATCAGGGCACCGTCGTCCGCTGGGAAAAAGCTTCTTCAAAACCCTTTTTTGTCTGTGGTTAAACAATTATTTTATTGCTTGAGTACATAGATTTATACGACCAGGGCCGAGGCTGCAGATGAATCACATTTCCAATTGGGAGGGAGGACTCGCTTGGTCTTATAACATTGAGCCAAACGGTGAATCCGACTCCATCAGAATCAGACAGAATTTCGCAGCCTTTCTGTTCCACTCAAGATGCTTTTGAACAGCTGCTGCTTTCTTAATTAAGTGGTGGCGATCTTCAGGGAGATCAGGAGCAAGTTCCTTAGACTTAAGGATTCTTAAGATTTTATTGCCTGTCACGGAATGCGCCTGCCCAGCACCGTGTACAGCTCTCGGGTCACACTGATCTGTGAAGGAGTCAGGCCAGTTTGTAAATCTGCTCCTTCACGTCGTAGATGTCCACTTTAGCCACGTGGGGACGCCGCGGCCACAGGGCAAAGCTGAGTGGGACAGGCGCTTCCCGGGAGCAGGCATGCGACCTGTGATGGCGGTGGGCAGGCAGCGAAAAAAGCCAAAATCCATTGTGTCATAAAAATCCATTTTCCATTCAGTGCTAAAAAGAAATGAGTCACTATGCCACGAAAAGCCACGGAGGAACCTTAAGTGGCCCTTTACTCAGTGAAATGAGCTGACTGGAAAAGGCTACAGGCTGGTTCCAACCGAACGGGGTCCTGGAAAAGGCAAAACTGTGGGGACAGTGGAAAGCCGTTGTCAGCAGCCGGGGGAGGGAGGAGCGAATAGCCGGGCGCCGAGGGTTTCTAGGGCATCGAATCCTCTCTGCAGGCTACTGAAATGGTTCCGTGAGAACCCGTTCACCCAGAGCCACAGCAGGCACGCCCGAGCCTCCCACAGTGAGCCGTGGACTCTGGGTGATGAGAGCGAGTCCCTGTGGCTCTATCGATGGTGACAAATGCACCACATGAGTGTAGCACGTTTATAATAGGGGAAACTGAGGCAGGGGAAAGAAGGTGGGCATATGAGAATTCTATTTTCTGCACATTTTTTGTAAACCTAAAACTGCTCTAGAAAATAAAGTCCATTTTTTTTTAAAGTCTATTTTGCAAAAGAGCCGGAAGGGAAGGGAAGGCAGCAGGGATGCCAGTGCCAGGTGCTGGGCAGGACAAGGCAGGCGTGGACACACTCCCACGGGACCCTGGGTCTCCGCAGGCACACGTGCCCGATGGCCAGCCCAGTGTGGATGTTGCTGCCACTGCTGCTGCTGCTGGGGTCCTTGGCGGGGCACAGGCTATGGAAGAAGCAGGTGTACCCGTCCCACAAGGTGGGTGCTGGCCTCCCCTGATGCCCCTACAGGCCCCACACCCCGGGGCTGCCAGCTTCTGTCAGTGGGCCATGCTCGCCTTCCCGCCACGTGCCGGCTGCGCTGCCCGAGCACACCTGAGGCTATGGGGCGGTGCCAGCGCCCGGAGCAGCCCTGGGGCCACAGCCGCCACCAGGCAGGAGGGAGCACCGCCACGTGGGAGCCGCGCTGACGTGTGCTTGTTTTCGAAAAGGTGCCCATTTTCCCTTTTTCTTTTGTTAATTTATTAGTTTTTTTTTTAGATGGAGCCTCACTCTGTCGCCCAGGTTGGAGTGCAGTGGCACAGTCACAGCTCACTGCAACCTCCGCCTCCCACGATCTTCCCGCCTCAGCTCCCGAGTGGCTGAGATGACGGGCGTGCGCCACCACACCCAGCTAAACTTTGCATTTTTAGTAGAGACGGGGTTTGCCATGTTGGCCAGGCTGGTCTCGAACTCCTGACCTCATGATCTGCCTGCATCAGCCTCCCAAAGTGCTGGGATTACAGGCATAAACCCCTGCGCCCGGCCAGAAAGTATACCCATTTTTGACAAAACGCTGTTACTTATGTTAACAGGTGATGGGATTACTGTCATTATCTTAAAATTCAGAGTTAGGGTTGAAAGCAGTGATGTCAGTAGACAAAGCCACAAGACCAGGGTCACACGCACGCGGCGCCTTCTGTGTCTGTGGCCCGGGGTGGCTACGAGCTGTGGCCGCAGGGGTAGGCCTGGCTCTTGGCTTGCCACTGCTGGCTGTGCCGTCCCGGGAGCCTTGCTCACCCTCTCTCAGCCTGTTTCTTCTCCTGTAAGACACCAGGCCCTGGGCTGGCCCTAGAGCTTCGCCCACGCTCTGCTGCCGTGTCCCGCCCCTCGGTGCCTCGGTTTACCGTCATCCACGTGGCTCATAGCCGGCCTTCCCTTTCTCGGTCCGGGCCCCCAGCACAGACCCTCCAGAGCCACCGAGGTCTGGGTTTGTTCCAGAAACTTCTCAGGGAACCCAAGTGTGAGGGATGGTGACCCAGGGGAGCAGGGAGAGGGGAGGCCCCTCCCGAGTGCAGAGCAGGTGAGTGAGCCAGGGAGGGCGTTTCAGGGCATCGGGGAGGCGTGCAGGATGGACGAGGAGTGCCAGAGCAAATGCTGCACCACCGGCAGCCTGGACCCCAGCAAGCAGTGCAGCCCCAGGACCATCTTACTGAGGTGCCTGCCCTGGCGAAAGGTGCGTGTGGGTGCGGGGGGCGCGGAGGAGCGAGACCACCGGGGGCCCCTCCTTCCTGCCCTGGAACAGCCAGGGAGTGGGTGGCGGGTGCAGGGACAAGTCATCTCCCGTCCCGTCCCGTAGCCCATCGGGCACAGCTGCTCCCACAGCTCGGAGTGCCAGAGCCGCTGCTGCGTCCGCAGCAACCGCAGTCGGCAGAAGTTCTGCACGCCCCTGACCATCTTCCTTCAGTGCCTGCCCTGGCGCAAGGTGAGCTGCGGGCACCGGGGGGTGGAGGGCAGGTGAGCTGCGGGCACCGGGGGGTGGAGGGCGGGTGAGCTGTGGGCACCGGGGGGTGGAGGGCGGGTGAGCTGCGGGCACCGGGGGGTGGAGGGCGGGTGAGCTGCGGGCACCGGGGGGTGGAGGGCGGGTGAGCTGCGGGCACTGGGGGGTGGAGGGAGGGTGAGCTGCGGCACGGGGGGGTGGAGGGAGGGTGAGCTGCGGGCACCCGGGCAGATGGAGGGCGGGGGCACTGGAGACAGCTCCTCTCCACGGCCTCTGCCCGCCGGCATCTCCAGCCAGACGGTGACTTCTGTGGCAGCCACAGGGAGTGTAAGAGCCAGTGCTGCATCCAGCTGCGGGACGACAGCCCGCACCGCTGCATCCTCCGCTCCGGGATCCTGGCCCAGTGCCTGCCCCTGCTGAGTCTGCGTGGGAGGCTCAGCTTCGTCGAGGGCGCCACGGCGACCAGGCCAGGACCACAGCCATGAGAGGTGGGCTCTGAACCCACGGTGAGGGCAGAGCACCCGGGCACCCTGTTCGTGAGGCCTCGCCTCACCCTCCGTCTCACAGAAGCCTCCTGGGCTGGGCACTGACTCCACAGGGTGTGGGCACCGGGTCGGAGACCATCAGAGCCTGTGGGGCCGTGGAGAGGGGAGCTGGGACCAGTCCCCGCGGAAGCTGGGGTGACAGGGAACAGCCTCACCAGCCCTGAGGGAGGGCCAGCCCGGCTTCTCCCCTCCCTCCCCTGTCCGTGGCTGAGCCTGAGGGAAATCCACGGGATATGCGGTGCGCAGCCGTGGAGTCAGGGCAAGGCCAGGTGGCCAGCCGTGACAACGCTGTGGGGGCGTGAGTGTGAGTTTGCGGAGGCCCAGAGCGCCCACCTGGGTGAAAGGCCCCAGGCCCTTTCTTTCAGCTCTCGGGTCCCCCCAGGCCCTCTCGCGGGTGGTGGGAGAGCAGAGCTCTCAGGCGTCCTGCTCGGGTGGGAGCTGAGTGAGGGTGTCTGCCTGCGGGTGCTGTCCCACCCCCGGGGGCTGGCCCGGGGGATGCTGTGGCCAGCTTCACTTCCTCCTTCTGTGGCTGCTCCGGCCCCGTCCCCCCGCCCCGGTTCCTCAGCTCCGGCTCCTCCTTTAGTGACCGAGCTCAAACCTGGGCGCTGGAACCTTCAGGCTGGACCGCGTGGTGCCGGGGGTGGTTCCCGTGGAAGCTTCGCTCGGGCTCCTGCTGCTCTTCCTGGGGCTCGGAAATCCGTGGAATTAAGTGGGGAGCAGCGGCCGGTGGTCCGTGCGCTTGATCGCTGGGCGTGAATAAAGGCTCCCGGCTGAGTGAGCGTGTGTCTCATCTCCTCTGTGTCTTCTGAGTAATAACAGCATAAAATCTGCAGTCAGGGAGGTGGGCGTCTGCCGTTCAGCGCCACGCAGGCCTCCGGGAAGCCTGGGGAGGCAGAGGCCTCACTGTGGGAGGCGAGCTGGGGTCTGGTCACCTCCCATGGTGGCCGCAGGTGACAGCTGCTCCAGACGGAAACGCGCTCCCTCCCCTTCCCTGACGCGGGCGTCCCCGGCACACAGGCCCCTTCCCCAGGCCGGCTGAGCTTCCCGGTCACCTTCCTCCCCTCTGGGATCCGGGTTCAGGCCGAGAACCCTCCCCACAGCAGACTCCCGCCTGGGCAGCACCCGGGCTCTGCGGCAGTGGAGCAGGTGGGGGTGGGTCCGAGGGCGTCTGCAGCTCCCCTGGGGACACGCGCCGCTCAGCCTGAAGTTGCCAGTTTGGGTGACTTCCTTCAGACAAGGCCTGTGAGACCGTGAACCGGGCGTCGGGCCTGAAGCAGGCCTGCCGAGGCCACAGCACAGCGCGCGTGGGACGCTCACACGGCCGCACGGACCGGGCCCTGCAGCGCCGTCAGCCGCAGTTCCTGACTTCGCAGCCTTGGGTCGTGTTGACGAAACGGCAGTTTGGTGACGTTTTCTATGGGATGTGGAAAGTGAACTCAGTCTTCCCACGATGGGGCTGTGGACACACGTTGCTCAGGGTGACCCTCCCTGGGCGTGTGTGGTGACAGACACAGCTGCCACCGTGTGGTCCCCGTAGGAAGTGAAAGCAAAGCTCCTTCCTGATGCGAAGCTGCTGAGAAAGGAATTTTCCACACACACCTCCACCTCCCTGACGCCGTCCACACCCCAGCGCCTGGATCCGGAACCTTCAAACAGGATTGCCCGCCGCCAGCAGGACGTGTCACGTGGTGAGGTGGGCACGGGGTGTCTCTGTGGGGGTGAGCTGGGATGTGGGGGCTGTCCTCTTGGGGGTGAGCCGGGGCACAGGGCCATCCCATGGGGGGTGAACCGGGCTGCGGTGGCCGTCCCCTCGGGGTGAGCCCAGCAATACCAGGGAAAAGCTTCCCTGACTCACCTTCCCCACAGGTAGCTCCAGCTTCTTGGCACCCCTCCTCCCGCAGAGACACTGGAAGCACATGAGGAAAGCACTGAATGGGACAGGTCTCGATCCAATACAGTGAAAAATCTCATTTTCCCAAACTCCACAGAAACATTGTGTGTGGTCAAGTCAGTTGGAGTGGACGCCACACAACAGGGGCACGGGGCGTCTAAGGTGACGGGTCACCCGCTGGTTCCAGGAGGAGCACGGAGCCCAGCAGGCACCCAGAGCTTCAGGCAGCCCCTAGGGTGGACGCAGAAGGGGTTCCTGCCGGGCATTCGGGAGACGCTCTCTGGGTTGAGGCCGGGGAACCACGGCCGGGCCAGCCCTGTGTGCTGGAGGAGCCCACCGCACCGGGGTCTCCCCACTGCCCCTGCCCCTGGCGTCGTCACCCCATGGCAGAGGGGCTGCCCGGGGGTCTTTCCACAACCTCCCATCGGAGTGGGGCCCCTCGGCCCGGGGTGCGACCATCTCCTCCCTCTGCCCGAGCCCTCCAATCCCGTTGCCATCACGTTGGGTCAACTTCACTATGAATTTGGAAGTCTAAGGAAATGACAAAGCGAAACAGCGCGGGGTAGGTGGGCGTCAGACGCCGCAGCCCCTGGTGAGTCCCTCTGTCCCTTCCGCACGGGGCCTCTCCCGGCCTCTCCTGCTGAGGTGTGCCCAGAGCCCCCCCACTGCTCCTCGGGGCACAGCCTTGCTGTGGACTGAATGCGTCCCCAGATTCCTGTGTGCAGGCCCCGAGCCTGGCGTGATGGGACTGGAGCGGGTTCTGGGAGGTGGCTGAGGCTGCGGGGAGGCGGTGAAGGCTCGTGAGAAGGGGGTTCACGGCCTTGTGATCAGAGGCTCCAGGCGACCGTGGTGGTAAATAGCAACGCGCTGTGAGAAAAGAGACCACAGAGGCGCAGCGTGCCCGCTCCTCCGCGAGGACGCCCTGGGAGGGCGGCCGCCTGGGACCCAGAGGGGCCTCCGCCCTGCCCACCTGCCTGGCAAGGACACCCTGGGAGGGCGGCCGCCTGGGACCCAGAGGGGCCTCCGCCCTGCCCACCTGCCTGGCAAGGACGCCCTGGGAGGGCGGCCGCCTGGGACCCAGAGGGGCCTCCGCCCTGCCCACCTGCCTGGCAAGGACACCGTGGGAGGGCGGCCGCCTGGGACCCAGAGGGGCCTTGGGGAGCTCGCCCTGCCGGCACGGGATCTCCGACTCCAGCCTCCACAGCCGAGCAGCCAGTGCCCCCATGTGCGTGCCGGGTCTGTGGTGTTCCGCATGGCAGGCGAGGAGGCTGAGACGAGCCTTGTTATTCTGACCACCCATCCTCAAGTTCTAGCAAAATGATGATTTCTAAGAAGGAACGGAATAGATAAACGTGAAACTTAACCCTTGAAAGCATCTGGAGGGCGTCCAGGCGAGGCGGCTCCACCTGCGGTCCCAGCTCCTCGGGAGGCTGACGCAGGAGGATCGCCTGAACCCAGGAGGCGGAGGTCGCCGTGAGCCGAGATCGCGCCGCTGCGCTCCAGCCTGGCGACAGAGCGAGACTGTCCGGAAAAACATGGACAAGTGATGTCTGTTTTCTGGATGTGGCCGGCGACGTGCCCCAGTCCCCAGAGGGGCCGTCGGCCCCAGGACGCCGGGAGTGCTCTGCGGGTTTGGTCATGCGCGGGGGGAGGGGTGTCTAGGCATCGGTTATTTATGTCGGGGAAGATGGAAGTTTGGGATTCGTGGAGGAAACTGAGTCTCTGCACAGCTGCCAGGTGGAGGCTCGGTTGAGAAGTGCGGCCGGAGCCCGCGGTCTGGGCCCGGGGGAGGGAGCGGTGGTGAGCGCGGCGGCCCGTGGCGGGGCGGGGAGGCCGGGACCCTCGCTCACAGTGCAGGGGCGGAGAGCTGAGGATGAAATCCGGGAAGGTTCCTGCATCCCGACTGCGGGTGGAGAGGGGTGCACAGTGAGCGCTTCAGCAGATGGAGGGAGGGACGGGGGCAGATGGAGGAGGAGAGACACAGAGACCTCGCAGGGACCCAGAGATAGAGACACAGAGACAGAGACACCACAGGGACACAGAGACAGAGACACAGACAGAGACACACAGCGTCAGAGACACAGAGACAGAGACACCACAGGGACACAGAGACACACAGAGACAGAGACACTGCAGAGACACAGAGACAGAGACAGAGACACAGAGACCTCGCAGGGACCCAGAGATAGAGACACAGAGACAGAGACAGAGACACCACAGGGACACAGAGACACACAGAGACAGAGACACTGCAGAGACACAGAGACAGAGACACAGAGACATCACAGGGACACAGAGACAGAGACACAGAGACAGAGACCCAGCAGGGACAGAGACAGAGAGACACAGAGACAGAGACACCACGGGGACACAGAGACAGAGACACAGAGACAGAGACACACAGAGACAGACACACACAAAGACAGAGACACAGAGACAGAGACACACAGAGACAGAGACACACGAAGACAGAGACACCGAAGGGACCCAGAGTCAGAGACACAGAGACAGAGACACCACAGGGACACAGAGACACACAGAGACAGAGACAGAGACACTGAGACAGAGACACAGAGACAGAGACACAGAGTCAGAGACACACAGAGACAGACACACACAAAGACAGAGACACAGAGACAGAGACACACGAAGACAGAGACACCGAAGGGACCCAGAGTCAGAGACACAGAGACAGAGACACCACAGGGACACAGAGACAGAGACACAGAGACAGAGACACACAGAGACAGACACACACAAAGACAGAGACACAGAGACAGAGACACACGAAGACAGAGACACCGAAGGGACCCAGAGTCAGAGACACAGAGACAGAGACACCACAGGGACACAGAGACAGAGACACAGAGACAGAGACACACAGAGTCAGAGACACAGAGACAGAGACACCGCAGGGACACAGAGACACACAGAGACAGAGACAGAGACACTGAGACAGAGACACAGAGACAGAGACACAGAGTCAGAGACACAGAGACAGAGACAGAGCAGAGAGAAAGAGAGAGAGTGGGGAAAGAGAAAGAGAAAACCCCCAGTTTGCTTTTCACAAAATAGACAAGCATTTACCGGACAAAAGAGGGGAATAGCAATCAGCATTAGACATGTAACAGGTAACAAAGTCACAGATAAAAGGAGGATTTAAAAAGCATAAACAGGCCGGGCGTGGTGGCTCACACCCGTAATCCCAGCACTTTGGGAGGTTGAGGTGGGTGGATCACCTGAGGCCAGGAGTTCGAGACCAGCCTGGCCAACATAGTGAAATCCTGTCTCTACTAAAACTGTAACAATTAGAGGGCATGGTGGCACATGCCTGTCATCCTGGCTGAGGCAGGAGAATCTCTTGAACCCAGGAGGTGGAGGTTGCAGTGAGCCAAGATCGTGCCACTGCACTCCAGCCTGGGCAACAGAGTGAGATTCATGTTTAAAAAATAAAGCTAACGAAGAAAATCTAGTAATTGAATATTAAACTCTCCCCCATATGCCTATGGCAAGCATCTACTGTTCTGGAAGCATTAGGAACGTCCCCACCAAAGACGGGGGTAAGGAAAGTCATGCCCTCTGCCCGTCCGTCTCACCGTGCCCCGGGAAGCCACAGCCGGTGGGAGACCACAGGAGACCTGTGAGGCCACCACGATGACCTCCAGCTGCTCCCGATGGCGCTGGCTCCACGTCCTCCTGAGAAGGGAGGGAAGCCCCGGAAACGCTGCTGGAAGGCGTCAGCGGGGTCTGTCGGCCAGGGCAGGGGAGGCCGTGCCGCCTTGACGAGCAGCCCTCGCTGCTAGGGTTTCTGACAGCCACGGCCCTTCCTGTCCAAGTCTGCCCGGCGGGAGCCCTGCCCATCCTCCTCACCAAGAGCCAGGCTGATGGAAGTATCCTTGGAATGTCGCCCTTGGAAAATTCTGGCTCCTGTGGCAGAGAACAGAGAGGCTCTGGAGAGAACAACACACAGAGGCCCCTGGGGCTGAGGCTGCACATGCTCCCGTGACCGGCCTGTGAGCAGAAGAGCCACGAGGGCGGGTCACACGGTCCTGCGTGCCCGGCGTGGGGAGCGGATGACGCACGGCAGGCGGCGCGTCAGCGTCACCCGAGCCACAGACCGGCGAGGACTCAGCAGCCTGTTCGAGGCTTGAACGCCTGGGAGTAAACTCACAAGACGCTCCCAGCCTTCCAGGAGGAAAACCGAAACCTTCACAAGTGACAGAGAGGGAACCCGAATCAGCCACGGCAGCTGTGCGGCGGTCTCAGAGTCACGGCATGGGCACGCCGACTCTGCTCCACATCAGCTCACCCGTCCTGTGCTGGCCCAGCAGAAAGGTCACAGCTAAAAACGTCAACCACATTTGACAAGCGCATTGCAGAGTTCCCGAGGAGAGAGATCAAGAGCTCTGTGCGGCACGTTTTCTTCCCCAAGGCCCCTTCCCCTGGCATGAGGGTCCTGTGTCTTGTAGGCACAGATGTGGTCACCCGGGTTGCAGCGCGGAGGTGCGGTCCCAGCCCGCTGCAGCCCCTGCTGCCTGGGCTCCAGTGACCCTCCAGCCTCAGCCTCGGAAGTGGCTGGGACCACAGGCACATAGCTCCATGCTCAGCTAATTTGTTATTGATGTATGTATTTATATTTTTTTGTAGAGATGGGGTCTTGCTGTGTTGCCCAGACTGGCCTCAAACTCCTGGCCTCAAGCGATCCTCCCATCTTGGCTTCCGAAAGGGATTACAGCCCCGACTCCGCCTCTAACGGCTGCAAGGCGTCACTTGGAGCGTCTCTTTCCTGTCCTTCAGTGGCTTCTTTCTGTTGGTGCACACCCTTATTTTACTTCAATGTTTCCTCTGGTGTCTTCCAAAGAAAAGAGACCAGAGTGAGCGTGTGCCTGAGCTCCAGCCGCCTGCCCGAGAGGGGCTCTTCGTCCTTGGCCAGGAGGTCTTCAGCATCACTAAAAAATGCCCCGCTCCCTCACAGTGGCTCATGCCTGTAATCCCAGCACTTTGGGAGGCTGAGGCAGGAGGATCACCTGAGGTCAGGAGTTCGACGCCACCCTGGCCAACACAGTGAAACCCCGTCTCTGCTAAAAATACAAAAATTAACTGGGCGTGGTGGCGCACACCTATAGTCCCAGCTACTCAGGAGGCTGAGGCAGGAGAATTGCCTGAACCCGGGAGGCGGAGGTTGCGGTGAGCAGAGATCGCGCCATTGCACTCCAGGCTGGGTGACAGAGCAGGACTCTAGCTCAAAAAGAAAAAAGAGAGAGAGAGAGATTTTATTTTCAAAACCTTTCATTGAAATTTTTCATTTGGCAATCATTTATTTTAATTTCAAAGACTATTATAAATCGTTTGACTGGAGAATACGTTTTTAAAGGCTGAGAAAACACACGGTGACCGTCCCTGCCGCGCACTCACACCCCTTCCCAAGATTTCACGCGTCTGCAACCTGCTTTCTCCGCGGCCGAGCAGAGCTTTGCAGGGCTTGCCTCCCCGACCACAGTCTTGGGGGCCCCTCTCACCCGCAGCATCCATCGTCAGAGCCACCCTGGGCTGTTTCAATCAGCTCTGCAGAGTGTGATTTACATACAGTGGGATCTACCCGCTTGGTCTACTGGTGTGAGGAATTACTGTTTTGAGACCAGGTCCCCTGCAGAGCCCCTCAGGCAGCCTTGCAGCCCTGCCTGGCCAACCCCGTCCTGTGCTTCCCGGACGGACAGGGACGGACGCTGAGGGCTTGGGAAGGGTCGTCCTGCTGCGCCTCCCTCTGTCCCGCCGGCGTGCGGGGCCCCTGCGCAGCTGTGCCCAGGCGAGGCGTGACCTCACGTTCAGTGATTAGACGGATTCTCCCTTCCCTTGGCCCTGTTGATGACGGTGGGGGTCGGCCAGCCTCAGGGCAGGGCGGGGAGTGGCTCTCCCGGCCAGGAGCCCTCCTGCCTTTTATGGACCAGGCTGGGCAGAGAAGCAGTGAAGGCCGGGGTGAGGGAGGGGCGTCCAGATGGTCTGCAGGAGGAGTGTCGGGGCTGCGCCTCTCACCTCCTCTTCCGGGGCCGCGGCCCTTCCTGGAGCTGGCTGACCTTGAGAGACCCGGCAGTGCCCTCCCGAGTTTCCAGGCAGAGCACGGGTGTGCGACTCACACCTAAGAACCACATCTGAAAGTGAGGGCCAGCTGGAGGAAGGAAAGACCCCTCCAGGGCTCTGTCACGAGCTCAGCCCGTGTGGGAGCGGAGAGAGCTCGCAGTGGGCACCCGGGCTGCGTTTCATGACCTAAGGGGACTCCGAGGACCCGCAAGACACGTCGAGAGGGGCCTGGGCCTTCCTCTGGGTTAGGAGAGAAACTTTCTCTGTGAACAAGCTTCAGACAATGAGGCAGACGTCAGGAAGCCACCGAAGTCCCCAGCACACGCTCCACCCGCTACACACACCCACACCGTGAGCAGA